AGAAGGAAGAGGAGAAAGGAGGAGAAGGAAGAGGAGAAAGGGGGAGAAGGAAGAGGAGAAGGGGGAGTGGAAGAGGGGAAAGGGGGAGAAGGAAGAGGAGAATGGGGGAGAAGGAAGAGGAGAATGGGGGAGAAGGAAGAGGAGAAGGGGGAGAAGGAAGAGGAGAAAGGAGGAGAAGGAGGAAGTGATAATAATCAACATGGGGGTGGTGATGATGACAACCACAGGTGATGGTGGTGACATTAAGGATGAATACTAATACTGATAATGACAGCAGCTTTTGAGGACCTGCTGTATGCCAGGCTCTGTCTCCTTTGACCTTCACAGCTCTGTCAGGTGGGTGACCATTATTGCTCATATTTATAGGTGAGAAATTGGTGGTTTAGAGAAGCTGGGCGACCTTCTTAAGATTCAGAGCCAGTGTTCTGATACAGCAGGCAAGGATTTATGTCACAACCGGCAGAGCCTGTAACTTTATATTTTCTTCTTCCTTTTATGCCTGGAATGGTCTGAGAAAACTGCAGAGATCTTTGTTTCTGGCAAAATTCACATTAGCCCACTTTCACAGATGGGAAGACCGAGCCGTGTGTGGTCACACGGTCAGCCCAGTGCCGCCACTGCCCCCAGCGTCCCCCTTGTCCCCTGCCCGCCTCACGCGTGCTGTGTTGGTTCTGCAGGCTCCGCGGGGGCGAGGGCTCGGCTCCATCCTCCGGAAGGTGTGCTGCGTGGCGCTGCCGCTGCAGGTGCTGCTGCTGTTCTTCCTGCTGCTGCTGCTCCTGCTCCCTGTCGGGGACGAGCACCGCAGCTGCACGCTGGCCAACAACTTCGCCCGCTCCTTCACGCTCATGCTGCGCTATGACGGCCCCCCGCCCACCTAGCCCACCGGGTACACAGGTGACTGACTCTTCTTCAACCTCCAGCAGTCCCAGGGCTCCTCCTGAGGATGCCCGCCCAGGGAAACTGGAAACAGGGGCAGGCCTGAGACCGCAGAGCTGCATCAGTCCAAATACTGTGTCAGTGTTCCCAGAACCAACCTCCTTTTTATACAGTGTTGCCTAAGTTTGTTTGTACTACAGTGTTGCCTAAGTCTATGTGTACTATGTGCGTACTCTCTGTGACGAGGGAATGATGTATAGAATTTTTATATACTCTGTATGTAAATGCTTGGTATGTATAATTTCATATGCAAGGTCTATGTGTAGTTGGGGAAATTCCCAGCGATGTGTTTCTCCAATGGGATTTTGTGGTGTTGTCGACTTGGTCTGTGGTCAGCCCTGGCAAGCAAAAACAGTGACCATGTCACTTTTATGACAGTTTCTTAACCAGAAACCAACCCCTAAACTCAGATGTTGGTGAAGAGGCCTTTCAGCTGCCGACATAGAAGAGCAGCACAGGCCCTCCCTCACTCAGAGCCCAGTGGCTCTTGCTTTACGCACACTGAGAACAGATACACTTGTCTAGTTTTTAAAACCACAGAGATTAGACGCTGTGGATTAGAAGTAGAAATGGCGATGACCAGAGGCAGGCACAGGGATGGCAGTGGAAAGTGGCAAGTGAGAGAGTGATGTCAAAGGAAGAAAAGAATTACAAAGAGCAGACCCAGAGCTGAAAAAGCCCAGCTGGATGGAGGCATTAAGTGCAGGAGCCTCTGACCCCTACCGCTCAGTATCTTCTGACTACACAGACTAAGGGGGAATGTCCGTGGCCATGACACTGACCCCTCGGGAAGTGGTTTGGGGAGAAAGGGAAGGAGATAGGCTTTGTTTTTAAGATATCCATGAAGAATGGTGAAACACACTCTGGGTGCAGCGCACGTGACAGTGCCAGGAACAGATGTGTTTCCTTTGATGCTCTTGAACTGAGTGATCATCGTCTAGAACTCAAGCTGGAGGGCAGAAGGGAAGCATCGCCATGCCAGGGGCCAAGGATAGAGGGTCCAAGACAGAGATGAGAGATAGGCCTTGAAGCTCAGCCTGGCTGAAGGACTCTCCCTCCTCTTCCTAGAAGGCACTTTGGAGATGGGCAAGTCCACTGGACCAAGAATGTCACACACATGACCCCACATGGGACCAGAGCCCAGGCCATCCCCAACCAGGCTCTCTCTGGCCAGGTCTAGGCAAGTCGGGCTCCTGCTGCCACCTGGGAGGGGCCAGGGCAACTCCATGTTGGGTTCTGAGACTGGAAACATGTCCCTTCTTCCCCAGAGATGTGTGGAATGGTTTTCGAGTATTTTATAACTGGATCATGTTTTCTGTAAATCAACACTAATTTTTCCCTTTGTAAAGGATGCTTAGTGTCCACTCTACAAACGGATTTTGGCTATTGAACTACAGATTGGAGACCAACAGGGGATTTCCTCAGGCCTTAAAGGGGACTTTGGGATCATAAAATGTTATAGACCCCGGAAAGGCCCTATAAACAGAGGGGAAACTGAGGCCCTAAGTGGGTCCTGACCCCCGGCACACTGCTGTCACATACACACTGACCCCTCCCTTCCTGGCCTCAGTTCCAGCCTCAGCGAGCTCTCCCCATGGGGGCCCAGGACCCAGCGAGTAGGAATAGCTGGACATTCACAGGACAGGAGACACTGGGTACTGCTCAGAGAGCATACCCTTCGAAACTGCAGGTGGCCACAAGCCCATTCTCTGCAGGTGGCCGCTTTACTGGAAAAATCAAGGGCTGAATGAATCAAGACCTCAAGGGCGGGCAGCCAAGCCCAGGTGCCCACCGAATTGATTCATCCAGCCCTGTAGTCAGAACTGTGGCAGGGACTTGGAAGGTTCTGTTTCTACTCTCCCATGTCACAGGCAAGAAAGTTGAGGCCCAGAGAATGTTAATAACTTATCCATGGCTACACAGTGAGAGACAGCAAGGCCAGAGCCAACTGGTCACCATGGCCCTCAGGCCCTACCCTGCTCACTGTGGCACAGTCCCCTGTGTCAGCAACTTCAAAGAGAAAAGCTGTTACTGAGCACATGGCTGGGCCATGGGCGCCACATGCTGGGGAGGGAGAAACCGCAACCTGCGGGCTGGCGGGTAGGAATGTCTCTATATGATATATATTTTTTAAACTTTGATAATGATGCCCTAAAGTGTGCTTGTTTGCAAAACTGTTTTTTTTAAAAGAGAGAATTGATATTTTCATTACTTTCATATAAATACAGTTATAATATGACACAACAGCCCATTTACTGGTGCTTTCAAATGCCATCTCTTGTGTTTAAGAACTTAAAGTGGGTGCAGGCAATTTTCTTTTTATGACTTTACTTTCTAGCCTTTTAACAATAGCTATGAAGAGCTTTCAGGTGCTGCTTGAGAACGGCATTGCTGTGGAATGTGTGTGTGTGTGTGAGAGAGAGAGAGAGAGAGAGAGATGGGAGGAGGGGGGAGAGAAAGAGAGGCAGAGAATGACAGAACTAGACAGAGGGACAGAGGGAAAATAGGAGGATGACAGAGACAGAAGGAGAGTGACAGAGACAGAGAGACAGATGGAGAGCAGAAGGCAAAAGAGGTGGGGAAAGGGGAGAGGAGGGGGAGGGAGAAGAGAGAAACACCAGTGGGTAAGACTGATGCATTAGCCACCTGCCCTTAGCCCCCCCAGCCCCCTTTTTCTCTTAGTCTGTTCTCTGAGTGCAGAAAGACACACGCAGGAACAGGTGTCCTCAAACTACAGCCCTCAGGCCACATGCAGCCCACAGAGGGCATTTATCCAGCTCACTGGGTGTTTTTGCCACCGCTGCCTGTCCTGCTTAGCAGCCAACTCATCCCAGGCCCACAGTCTGGCCCTCCAACGGTCTGAGGGACAATGAACTGGCCCCCTGTTTAAAAAGTTTGAGGACCCCTGATCTAGAAGGTGTTTTTAAACAAAAGCTGGAAGTAGGTGGGCAGCAGACAAAGCCAGGAGCCCTCTGCCCAGTGTGATGACGGAGACACGGACCTGCGGCATCTGGGGCTTGCAGCCACAATTTATGGAATTCCCACCGTCATCTGCCAGAATTTGATATTTCTTTACCCCCATGCTTGAAATGAGAAAAATGAGGCTCAAATAAAAAGACACTTGCTCAAGTGGAGGTTGAACCCAAGTCTGTCTGACCGCAAAGCCATGTAGGGAGGAGGGGACTTGAGGCTGGCTCTTCTGGGTTATAGTCTCTGCAGCCTCTGGGGATGGACTTCAGTGGACAAGTGAACAGAACTCTCTGCACACCACTCAGCTGGGATGTGGCCAGAGCCGAGTGCCACGTGTTTCCCTGAGGGTGGCCCTCAGCTCTGAGGAGTGTTCACGTGGGTCGTGTTCTATCATCTTCACACTGCTCAGGGGAACAGGACGTTCTGCCCAGCTGGGAGATGAGCCCCTCCTCTGTCCTGGGGTAAGGTGCCTGGTCCTGAGTAATGTAAATGCAGCCCCAGCACCCAGCACAGGGTGGGAACTTCAGCTGTGGATTGTTGAACTGCATTAAAAACCCAGAGGTGAGTATGTTTCCTGACGTATCACTCCCTTCTTGGGCACAGAGGAAGTGGGTCCTGGGTGTCATGACCCAGCTCAGGCCCCATTTGCCTCAGGAAGCTGGCTGGAGTTCCCAGCAGGGACCAAGGGTCTAAAGGTACTTTTCCCTGGGCAGCTCCAGGGCAAGGAATCTGGGGATCCTCCACAGCCTGGGGGATAAGGAGGATGACAGGCGAGGGCAGTTAAAGACTTGAAAGTGGACAGTCTCTGCCAACCATCTAGGGCCTCCTGATGGGTTGCTGCTAACCAACTGCAAGCCAGGGGTGTCAGGCCTGCAAGGAGAGGGCTCAGGCTGCCCTGAGATGAGGCAGCTGGAGTCAGAGCCTGACCAGGAGGCCGAGAGGCTTAGCAGAGGCTTTGAGAACCTGCACTTGGTGCTGGTCTGTCTGGAGGGGCCATCCAGGGATGGGGAACAGAGGAGCTAAAGGCCAGAGATGACGTCAGGCTTAACGCACTGAAGCATGTGCTTAAAAGGAGTTAAGATGCTAAATCATATGTGTATGTAACCACAATTTGAGAGAGAGCTGGGAGATGAGGAGGGAGAGAAAGAGAGAATGAGAATGTCAGGCTGTACCCTCCTAGTTCCCAACTTTCATCTGAGGACAAGGCCCAATGGTAAAGATTTCATTGGCCAAAGGTGAAGTGGAAAAAAAAAAAAAAAAAAAGGAGACATGCCTTGAGTTTTCCCTTTGCATAGGATTGATTTCTCCCAATGACTCCTCCATCCTTCCCACTTTAAGTTGGACATGAGGGATGGGTAAGAGGTGTCTTCTTTTAAGGTTTATATTCTGTTTTCTGAGCTCTCATTGGACAAAATGAGAAGTTGCCCCAATACAGTGTCCTTTCTGGAAACACATGAAATCCTCAAGTTTGGGAACCCTGCTAGAGAAGGTGGGAAGAAGAGAGCAGCTTGAAGAATGCTTAAGGCAGGATTCCCGGTAGGAGATAAGAAAAGGGATAGGAAAGGTTGAAAGCTGGCCAGCTATGGGCTTTAATGAAAAATCCAGAAGCCCACTGGCCCTGCCTTCCCACTAGCCATTTGTGTGCCCTCCAGATCTGTGGCTTTCTCTCCCATAGCAGCGGGGAGAAGTGATCTATGCCCATTTTCCTTTTAGTCCAATGCAACCAGCATTCTTCAAGTCTCTTCTCTGTGTCAGACTTTGTGCTGGAAGATCCTGGGTGAATAAATCCTAGTCCCAGCCTTCAAGAAGCTCACAAACCAGGAAAAGGGTTTGTGCCATAGAAGATGCCTGACCAGATGGGCCCATTGCCCTTGACTTTGCCTATCTGTCCTCCCTGGGGGGCAGACCCCCATCACAGAAGCTGGAAAAGCCCCACAGGGGAGATGCTAGGAACACTCAGGGCAGGTGAGTGCTGCCTCCTGGAGGTGACTATGGTGACTCTGCACCATGCAAGCGGAGAAAGTGGTTCAGAGGAGCTGGGGCAGCCAGGCAGGGCAAGGAGAGGACCTGGGCATGGCAGGAGGGGGACCAGACAGACAGCTGTGCCTCAGGAGGACAGAGGGTGCTAGGCCACACTCCCTCAGAGGGCCCTGGAGAGCTAGTGTGGAGGGCTGAAGCTATGGGTGTGTGAGTTTTTAAATACTACGTGGTTTAGTGTTTCTATCAATAGCACAATTACTAGTCTATGA